TTATATATATGTATATATATTATATACACTACCCGCTGAAATTAAAGCATCACCTCTCACGTCTTCGAAAAATTGATAGACCTTGAATGAGTGTAATTTCTACAAAAATGACCAAAATAAGACGTTTAAAAAATATTTTGTAGCTTAAAATCTTTACTTTTCAAATCTGTACTTAAAAAATCGATTCGACTAATATTTACGGGGCTACATGATTACAAAGAAAGATCTGTAAAATCTCAAAATTTTTTGTGAACTTTGCAGTTTCATGCCGTGAATGAAAAGTGGGGCACAAATACAATTAACAGCTTCCAAAAGCGTGAATCTTTATCATTAATTTGCTTTTTTGTTGTAGGATTTTTTTTTACCGAGTTATTCAACTTTGAAATAAAAATGGTTCCTTTTACTTTGACTGCTCATAAAAGACGAATGGAGTAACGTACGGCATTTTTTAGACAATATTTCGTAAACAAAAGGTAAAAATAATACTTTAAAGACATAAGAACAAACTAAAAAGTATCTTCCATCAGATAGTATAAGCAATTTTTGTAATAATGTTTGCAATTTAGCAATAATTAATTTTTTCATAAGGTAAGCAAAAATAAGCGTCTGACAAAATGGGCTCCAAAACTGACACAGTAGGCAGTAATGTGTTATGTGTTCCTATTCTTTTCCTTTTACAAGAATTATCCGCATAGAGGACCTACAAGAGAATGTATATAAGATATTCTAGAATTTTTTCACTCTTCGTTACAAAATATTTTTATTGAATTATATGCATATTTACTTTATGCTGTTCTGAAAGATGCAAATACGTAATGCGATAGTTTTTCAAGAGTTAGTCTATATATGGACGATTGTCTTTAGCTCCAATAAAGCTAATTGATATTATAAAGTAACATTATAAAGATAAAGTTAGTTCATGATCTGTTTACAGACAGCTAGGTGTGGCGGTTTCTGCTGCATCCCAATTTTATATTTAAAATCATATTATGAAAAAACTAAGAGAAAAAATAATATAAATAAAACTGATTTAGGAAACTGCAAGCATTTAGAATAACGTAATATTATCAATAATATAGTCACTGTTATTTAAACTACGTAATTTACAAAAGAAAATCGTAAGAATTTTATTTTCACAATCGTAGAATTCGCTTTCAGTTGATTTGGTATAGAAATAAGCTACAAATATACGAATTATGAGTTTGTATTTCTTTAATTAGCTAAACAGATCATAACTCTATTAGTATTAATAAAGTGCAATAGTTAGTTTCTAATTGTGAGAAATAAGAGTGTATCACTTTAGGAGACCTATGTCAGTATCGGCAACTTTCCTCTATTATTATACTTTTTATCATATATAAGAGCAGTGTTTTTTTGAAAATGTATAATTGTAAGATAAAACGTTGGCCAATTATTCGCAATAATTTCCTGTCTTTAAACTTTAAACTGTTCTAATCTAAAGCTGCTTTCCATTTGATGACACAAATCGACACAAGTCGACACAAATGTCGTTCTATCCTTCTTGATATTCAGAGAGTGACAAAGATAGAACGACACTTGTGTCGATTTGTGTCGACTGTGTCTCCTAAAAGGAAAGCAGCCTATATCTTTTTATGTTTCAATTTCTATAGCAATTTCGAAACATTTGTTTTTGTAATACTTGTGTTGTAATATGCAATATTGTTTG